AGAACCCAATACTTCCATCTAGTGGCCTAGAGGAGAACTTCAAACCGAACCCTATAGGCCTATATGGTTCCGTATAAGCCCTATAGGGAACCATATGGGTTCTATAGGGGACTCTATAAGTTCTATAGGGAACTCTATAGGTTTTATAGGGAACCATATAGGTCCCAAACTGAACCCTATGGGGCCTATAGGGACCAATAGGATTCCTTTAGGTTCCTATAGGAACCCTATTATACATTTTCGTAAGGGTCCACGGAACAAAAGTCACAGACGCGGAGTTTCCACTCTCGTCTCAGACGAAGCGTGCTTCGATTAGGGGCGACGACGATGGACGACGTCCTTCCTCGAAGGGCATCCCTCGGTCCCTCTGGGAGTCCGAGATCCGTACGTGACACGCGTGCGATCGCTGAGTCTCGCGCTGAACAACTCCCTGTTTCTACGTCCTTGCCCCAGGTTCCTCCACCTCGGTTAAAGAGGACCCGTAATGAGGGGAATGGTATCACCATCCACTCACCAACTTCATCGAACGCGCCTTCCAAACCTTTTCAAAGCGAAGTGGGTGTTGGGTCTGCCATTCGCGCACTCCATCCTGGGTCAGCGTCTCAGTCGAAAGGACCTGCTTATACTCTGATCCTTTTTGATATATCCCGCCGATGACTTGGAGTCCAGCCGCGCCAAATCCCATCATCCCATGGCAATGTCTGTTGTATCGTAAAGAGGGCAGTGGGTCCCAGGGCCCTTCCCCATTCGCCCTACATTTCCATACATTCCCCACAGATTCCCAACCGTTCCATCCCCCCGAAATGTATAGATGATCGTTGTAGTGGGTCGCTGCGTGACCACGAACGGGAATGGGGATGTTTAGGGGAAATGGGGACCACTGCCCGACTCTAACGTCCAAACACTCGCAGCTAGAGAGAAAAATTTTTTCTTCGGGGTCTGCCCCCCCGAAGACGAGAATGGTGTGGGGGTCCCACTTCAACGAAGCTGCGTCTATTCTCCCCTTGGTCATCAGAGGGAGATTCATCCATTGGTCGCTGTGGAGATCGAGGCTGCGTCCTTCACGGGGATTTCTCTCCCCTCCCAAGAGAAAAATAGATTCCCGGATCCCCACCCCCGTCGTGTAAGAGACGTTAAAAGTAGGAGGTATGCGGAGTTTATGGTCCCATCCGTGAGGGGCCGAACGGGGATCCTTTCCCTCCAGATGAAGAATTCGAACTTCCCCCTCTACTCCGTGGATCAGCATGGAGGAGTGGGCGAGGAAAATTTCCGATAAGGAATGAGCCTCCTGGACCCAGAGAGTGTTCTCGGGGACTTCCCACATCCCCCCTAGCCCGTCTCTACCCATCCCCATGGCGAAAATTCTTCTTGCCTCTGCAAGGAAAAGAAATTCCTCATTAAGAATCCTTTCGGGAATGGCGGAGTCGAGTAGAAACCGAAGAAGAAGGAATGAAAGGGCTTTTCTTTCATATTTTCTTTCGATACGTCAGAGATGAAGCGTTTCGGAAGCGCATCGCTATTTGCGGTCGTCCCCTCGAATCGCTTTGTAAATGTCCCATTTCCAGTTCCGAATGGATTCGAGAAGGAAATCAGGTTTTTTTTTGCATGAAATTGCGGAAACGATGATACACTCTGAAAAATGCCAGCACATCCAATCGGCACTGTGCTCATTTCCTTTAGTTCGTCCCCTCCCCCCCTGCCTCCACTCATCTCTCTTTCGTCTCTAAGGAAAACCTGATCTATTTCCTTTTCTTACTGGATCCCTCCCACGTCTTCTCGGAGTATTCTTTCGCCTCTATCTCAAACATGGATTGGAATAAATTGTCATTCTAAGACGATCTCCGATGACGATACACGATACCAGCATGTCCCCAACCTTTCCTCACGTGATGCCGAAATGAGGACGTTTTCCAGGAGTTTCCTTCAAATTTTGGAATTCCGTTCTCGTTCCTCTCGCATTATTTACGGGGAGAAAAGGAGATTCTTTTCTTCTCACTCCGTGCGGACGAGATTCTCTGGTAGGGGTGGAGATCGCTTGCGTGATTCGATGGCTATTTCTCCCTTCCCGTCCTTCACTGAAATGACTTAAGAAGGAAAAATCAAGGTTCCGATTTCGCGCTTGATCTGGCTTCATCCTGTTTTCTCTGCAGCTAGTTAGTTAGGGTATATAGTAAAAACTCAAAAAGCACTGAGTGAAAAAGTTGGTAGACCGCGCATTCAGGTAATTCAGTTTTTCATTGGGGGAATACAGGGCACATGTCATCAGGCGCGAAGAGGCTGGCAAGAGAGGACGAAAGACCGCTAGTGTACGGCCGGGGCTTGAACCCCGGCCTACTCATTTATTTTCATATTTGCTACCATTACACCACGGAATTCAGGACTTACAATAACTGTGCCTATCGTCACACAATAAGGCTCTCTGTTCCAACGAAAACTGGTACTGTCGCCCTTCGTTCAACCTGGCTAATCCACGTTGAACCTGCGCGCGCATGCCACTTCATGCTTTCTTATCCTACGACACACATTAAAATTACAATATTTTTCTCATCTTTCTCAGCTGAAACATGCACCAACACAATCTACATATCGAGGGCTTGCGATTGAGAATATGAGACCACACTCACCTTCACAAGATTTCTTCTTGGTTAGGTGACTCGGTAAACGGCGTAATATATTTATAGATTTGCTAATTATTTATCCAGTCCAATTGTTTATATCTCTTTTTCCCTACAATATACGGACTTGAAACAAGTGTGCATCTAAGGTTTCCACGACCCTTACGGAAATGTCCTATAGGAACCCTTTAGCTATTTCTTATAGGAAACCTATAGACTTTCCTATAGGTTTTTGAAACATGAAAAACCTATAGAATCCCTGTAAGGTCTTATAGGTCTACTGACCTATAGGACTCGGGGAGGATATTTTGGGTTTCGAAATCCAGGCATTACGACGGAAAAGGCGACCGGGGTTAATATTGCCACAGCATTTCGGTATAAATCAAACACCGATTATTGGTTTTTAAATGGTAGGGGGACTTGCATTATTAATACCAGTACTGCGGGGGTCAGCAAAATTTATGACCCCGCCGCACATATATCACTGGATTGCACGTATACTTCCTTCGGTAGAGAGAAATAGTATTCTTTTCTCGACCTAAGGAAATATAAGACAGAACCTGCGAGCACGTCTCTTTACTGAAACTACATTTAGATCGAGTCCACTCATTTTCGTACGTGGTTTTCAAAAGGAATAAGGGCATAATTCTTATAGGAATATATAGGAATCCTATAGGAATCCTATAGGTTCCTATATGCCACATAGAGTTCATTTTGGGACCTATAGAGTTCCCTAAGGAAACGAAAGGGTTCCCTATAGAGCCAAAAGGGTTCCCCATAAGGTCTATAGGTTCCCTATAGGACCCAAAGGGTTCTGTATAGGACCCGTAGGGTTCCTTATAAAACCTATAGGGTTCCCTATAGGGCTTATACAGGGCTTGAAGTTCTCCTTTAGCCCACTAGATGGAAGTATTGGGTTCTCGCATTTCTCAAAAGGCACAAAAGTGCCCTCACTTTACCCAAAGAATCATTTGGCACAAGAGAGTTTTGTACGTCCCCAAATGTCTAGCCTTGTCTCCTTGTAGTAATCAATAAACTTCTAAAGTTCCTTATTTGTCGTCCCCATCTTCCAGATAGAATCATGGAGTCTCGTGAAGAAATATGCCCTCATTCCTTTTGAAAACCACGTACGAAACTGAGTAAACTCTTTCCAAATGGAGTTTCAGTAAGGAGACGTGCTCCCCGGTTCTGTCTTCTATATCCTTAGATCGAGAGAAGAATACTAATTCTCTCTACCCAGGGAAGTATACGTGCAATCCAGCGACATATGTGGGGCCGGCCATATATTACGCACACCCCCGCAGTACTGGTATTAATAATGCATGTGTCCCTACCATGGAAAAACCCCTAATCGGTTTTTTATTTACACCGAAATGCTGCGCCAATATTAACACCGGTCGCCTTTTCCGTCGTAATGCCTGGGTTTCGAAACCCAAAAATCCTCACTGAATCCTATAGGTCAGGTGACCTATAAGACCCTATAGGGATCCTATAGGATCCTAAAGGAGCCTATAGGTTTTTCGTGTTTCAAAAACCTATAGGAAAGTCTACAAGTTTCCTATAAGAAATAACTTTAAGTTTTCTATAGGACATTTCCGTAAGGGTATTCTTCCTGACNCAATAAACTTCAACAGTTCCTTATTTGTCATCCCCATCTTCCAGATAGAATCATTGAGTCCCATGAAGAAATATGCCCTTATTCCTTTTGAAAACCACGTAGGCAACTGAGTAGATTCTATGCAAATGGAATTTCGGTAAAAAGACGTGCTAGCAGGTTCTGTTTCCACTTCCTTCGGTCGAGAGAAGAATACTACTTCTCTCCACCGAAGGAAGTAGACGTGCAGACCCCCGCAGTACTGGTATTAATTACGCATGTCTCCCTACCATGGAAAAACTCCTAATCGGTCTTTTATTTACACCGAAATGCTGCGCCAATATTAACACCGGTCGCCTTTTTCGTTGTAATGCCTTGATTTCGAAACCCAAAATATCCTCCCCGAATCCTATAGGTCAGGAGACCTATAAGACCCTATAGGGATCCTATAGGATCCTAAAGGAGCCTATAGGTTTTTCGTGTTTCAAAAACCTATAGGAAAGTCTACAAGTTTCCTATAAGAAATAACTTTAAGTTTTCTATAGGACATTTCCGTAAGGGTATTCTTCCTGACCGGCATTAAAAAAAAATGTATTAATAGTAATCGTGAGCGGCGGAAGTAATTATAAATGTTTAATTTCTTGGATGACCTCTTTCTCCTCTCTCCTTTCAGTCTTGAAACCGATTTTTATTTTGCTGGATTGTGATTCACGCCGAAAGGAATGAGGAATCTCCTCCCAATAACAAGTGCATTCTTCACATTTTTTCAAAGATTCGTTCTTCCTGACATTTCAAATAGAAATGATGGCGATCGTGAGACAGGCTACTGGTTTGGAATTACCTTCTGGAGAAGAAGCCTCTCTCCTTGCATCTTCATCCGTCCCCGTATCCTTAGGGATCTGCAGAGTGGAGTGCATTCATTATAGGGTGACTGAAACTCATGTTTACACGGAAAAGAAATGGTAGACACGAGAGATCTGGGAAGAAGGAGATCAATGACCACGAGACCCGAAATCATACCTTTAAAAAGAGGTATTTTTCATTCAATGCCCTCCAGTTATCATCGGAGAGGGATTCAAGGACTTTGGAAGACGTTAAAGGGCGATGAAGGAGGAGGCCTTTTCTTTCCATCTCCATCCAGAGGCCAATCCGATTTCGTGCTACAGCAGAAGTTCCCCCGTCGACGATATAGAGAGTATGGATGGCTCGGGAGATCCCCTCCACCATCCATGCGTCCTCCACCCCCACGCACATCACGTCGGAGTTTTCGCATCCTCGGTAATCCTCCACGTGAAAGATCTCTGGTGCTTTCGAGTTAATCAATCCGAGAGCTTCAGTGAAGATCTGCCGGATATCTTCGTCCGAGACTAGCACCACGACTTTTTCTTTCTAAAAAGAATAACAGCATGGTCGAAGGAGAAATCACAATTCTCAAAACTGTTTTGCTCATTATGAAATCATGTTGCCTGTGGAAACTTTGTCGTACACTAGTCGTCATCGAAAGGGTAAAATCAAGACACATTCCAGCTATATGAGATGAAATTCCTACAAGCATAATGAAACTGGTTCTTGAAATTGGTTCAACTTCCAGGGCGCATAATAATTATTAAACCGGAAAAGTTCCGAAATGCCTTCATGTAAGGGGCAAATAGGAGTTATGCTGCGCACCAAGAAGAAGTAACTGTGGAGAGTGAATCCGTAATATGTGATACAGAAGCGATTAATGTCCCCTGGGAATATATCCAGAGAGAAGTTTGACAGTTATAGAAACCCTTACGATAATTTCTTATAGGATTGCTATATATTCCTTTAGGAATGTAAATGAATCCTATAGGTTGTTATAGGCCCCATTAGGTTCAGTTTTCGACCTATATAGGGCTCAAAGGGTTCTGTAAAGGACCTGTAGGGTTCCCAATAAAGCCTATAAGGTTCCCTATAGGACCTATAGGTCTCCCTTTGAAACCTATAGGACCGATAGGGTTCCCTAGAGGGCCTATACGGAACCTTAAAGGACTAAAGGGTTCCGTTTGAAGTTCTCCTCTAAGCACTAGACGGAGGTATTGGGTTCTCGCATTTCTCAAAGGACACAGAAGTGCCCTCTCCTTACCCATGGAATCATTTCTAACAAGAGAGTTTTGTACATCCCCAAATGTCTCGCCTTGTCGCATTGTAGCAATCAATAAACTTCGACACTTCCTTATATGTCATCCCCATCTTCCAGATAGAATCATGGAGTCCAAGCAAGAAATATGCCCATATTCCATTTGAAAAAAAAAATACGAGAACAAGTAGACTCTATCCGAATGGAGCTCCTGTTAAGAGATGCGGAGTGAAGGTTTTGTTTTATGTTTCCTTAGGTCGAGAGAAGAATGATATTTCTCTCTACCGAAGGACATTGACGCACATTCCAGCGACATATACGCGCCGGGGCCATAAATTAGGCAGACCTGGATAGTACTGGTATGAATGGTGCAAGCGTCCATACCATGGGAAAACCCCTAATTGGTAATTGTTTTAAACCAAAATGCTGCGCCAATATTAACCCCGGTCGCCTTTTCCGTCGTTATGCTTCGGTTTCGAAACGTAAAAAATCCTCCCCGGATCCTATAGGTCAGAAGTCTTATAAGACCCTATAGCAGGGGTGTCAAACTCAAATCGGTCGGCGGACCGCATTCCTTACCCTCCAGATGCCTGCGGGCCGCACCCATAAAATTTCACTTAAATTTGTGCTGACACTCAATCCATGCGGAAAATTTCAGAAGCAGATGGCGGGCCGAATGAACCACCTCTGCGGGCAGGATCCGGCCCGCGGGCCGTATGCTTGACACCCCTGCCCTATAGGGATCCTATAGGATCCCATAGGTTTTTCGTGTTTAAAAAACTTATAGGAAAGTCGAAAGTTTCGAAAGTCTGTCATTACAACGGGAATGGCAACAGGGATCCATATTGGCGCAGGATTTTGGTGTTAATTAATTACCGACTATGGGGTTTTCTATGGAAGAGCACTTGCCTTTCTGATACTAGTATTGCCTAGGCCAGGCTCGCATATGTTGCTGGATAGCGCGTACCCGTCTTTTGGTAGAGAGAAATATCATGAAATATTATTTTCTAGGCGTAAGTAAATGGTAGATGGAACGTCTCGTATGAGGTTCTCGTAGGTAGTATGAGTGTATTTCTGGCCTGGACTCCATGATTCTATCTAGAAGATGGGGATGACAAATAAGAAAGTGTCGACGTTTCTTGATTTGCTACAATGAGGCAAGGCGAGACATATGGGGAGGTGTAAAACACTCCTGTGAGAGATGTTTCCATGGATAAAGGGAAGGAACTTTTGCGTACTGTGAGAAAGGGGTGAACTATTAATATTTACCTCCATCTAGTGGCCAAGAGGAGAACTTCAAACGGAACCGTATAGGTTCAATAAGGTTCCCAACAGGCCCTGTAGGTCCTACAGGTTTTAAAGGGAGACCTCTATGTCCTATATGGAACCCTACAGTCCTATAAGGAACCCGATGTGTACTATAGGCACCCCTACGGGACCTATACGAAAACATTTGGGTTCCATAGGGAACCCTAGAGGCCCTATAGGGATCCTATACAGTAGGATTCTTATATGCTCCTATAGGATTCCTATACATTCTTAAAGGAATATATAAAGGAAAATAAAGGAAAATGGCATTTTCGTAATGGGACCTTCTCCCTAGGATCGGGAGGTTCATCCTCCACGCAGAATCACGAGATGGTCAAAGAAGCGACGGATGGAACATACGTGAGGTAGGGAGTGAAAGACGGCAGCAGCGGTGATGGCGATGCATCCTCTTCCGCGGCCACCGATGCATTTCCATCCTCCGTGGTGGTGCGACCCAACAGGAGGGGTAAATAGGGTGGGTCGAACACCGAAAACTAGGGAGGATGGTTGCGACCTAGTGTTCAGGGTTCCCGTCTTCACCTTCAGGCGATGGGGGGATTCGTGAGAGAGGACGTGACTTAGGAGGCGGGGGAAGCCCACATCCCAGCATCCCTCTAAAATCCTCACTTCTGTTGGACGGAAAAAGTGGAAGGATGAAGAGTCAACCTAAGGCGAATTCGCATAATTTGCTCCCTGAGGTCATTGTGCGTAATAATCTCCAAAAAAATGATAACAGAACATTTTGGCGTATTGGACTTCTCACGGCCGCAAATACCTCGTATATCCATGAATTTTCGCAGGAATAGCAAGGGAAATGTCAGGATGCATTCCAGTTGGTGACCAATTTCAACATACTGTACGACTATTTCTTTGTTGCTTTCAGCCAAATTTGCAGATGGGCCCCAGTAGTCCGACGAGCCTCATGCTCCATCATTTTCGGATTTCCGTGAGATATTTCTAGGGATTTCCGTTCGATTTCATCCACGCTATATCTTATGCATTAGGAATCTTCTTTGAATCAAGAGGAATAATGATTATCTTTGCCGAAAATTCATCTTTGCTTTCCTTTCGGGAAAAATAAAAATAACTATTCCTGTTGAGTTTCTGACCTGGGAATGAAGACGAGTTGCAACGATTAGGGAGGAACATCCCCAATAATTCCTCTCTTTTTAATTACTCCCTTTTCCGGAGGGACGTTTTTTCTTTCGTAAGTACTTTCAGGAAGTGGAAGGTGTAGGAAATATTTTTTTTTTACTTCCTTTCCTGCATAAATGGAGAATCAGTACTTGGAAGAGCGAGAACAACTTAGGTTGAAAATTTTAAGCGAAAAAACGGCTGCACTCATTCTCTCGCCCGTATCCCATGGATTCTTTCCACGATTTCGCTTTAGAACCAAGATTGCTTTCATGGACTTTGTTGCATTGGAAAGCCCGTCGGAAGCAAAGAATCGCATATCGATGTAAAACGCGAAAAAAGTGCTAGGTGGAGTATGTTTGTAGCATGTTACATATCCCCTTTCTCCTCTTGATCTCGACCTGCGCTCGATTCGAGGGATGAAAGAAACGAAATTTAAATGACGCTTCGAGATGAGATTCTTCTTTCACTTCTACGTCCTTTTCATAATTCCCATTCGAGCCAATGGGGATCGCAGACGAAAGACTTTAAGCCGTCGATAGATATACTGTAAAACGACGGATGATGACACGACGCCGATGAAGAAGGACGTTTTACTCATTCGCGATTCCTGGAAGGCTCAGAGACGTTGGAATCGCGGCGCGATTCAAAGAAGACTCACTATTTTCAATGAAATTTCACATTTAATTCCAAACGCGAAAGTTATTTTATTTTCACTGCTCTGCTGGATAAAGGGGAATTGAAGAGCGGGATGACTTCTTCACCCCGTTTGAAAAAGAAATGCTTTGAGACTCAGCATGCTCTGCTTGCTAGCGAGTCTGTTTGCCAGAAGGGCAAACAAACTCGGTAGTATATATATGAGAAAAATACGAGGGTGAATATCGGACTGCTAACGACTGCGACTCCAGTTTCTCCGGATTTTTCGTTTAGAGGTCGGACGTGGTATGTTCGCATCCCGTCCGAATCACGAATAACACGAATGCCTTAGTCGCTCTTTAATTTTGAGAATCCCTCCGTCTCGTGAAAGCACTTGAAGCCATTCAATATACCAGCGCTTAGGGAAAAACTTTTTTTTAGCGATCGTTGAATAGTAGATAGTTTCATCGTACGTTTGACATGCACGATAAGAAAAGTAGCGATCTTACTTGTTAACGAAGAGAGTTGGAATCCCTCCTTGAACTTTTTCACGTCGAAGTTTGTCTCGGCATATTCGACATAGGGATAGAAGGCAATGGTGAGAGAAGCGAGAAAGGCATGGGAAGAGAGTGTCGAGATGATCCCCTCCCATTCCACCCTCAAACTCTCAGTGTCTCCAGGTTTGCCAATCCCGCAAACGGGTACATCGTCGAAGGCTACATGGAGTCTTTGTCCTTCGTTCATCCCCTTAACTAGCATCTTCTCCAAAAGTTCTTTCAACACCTGGGGGTCAGGACAAATATTCGTTTGAAGGTTGTGCTGCTGGATGAGATCGTGGACGTCGTACACCTCGACAACGTTCAACATTTCTCTATTCTTCATCCTCTCTTTCACGTCCACCAGAGAGAGACCGAGAGGATAGTATTTTATGTTCCATCTGCTGCAGTCCACAAACATAATCCGATACTTCTGCTCCTCCTTTTCGTATTCTTTGCGGTCTTCCGGCGTCTTCCATCTGGATAAAGTGTCCTCAGACTTCCGCATTTCCTCGTTTTTCTCTTCCGCCATCCTCTTCAGTCTGTCGAAAATAAAAGCAGTTTTGCCAGAACGAATCGGTCCGAAGAGTAGCTCGAACTTGCATTCGGCATCGGGTAAACGGGAAGTCTTTTCTTCCAGGAAAGCCGTCCACGAAATCTCCGTATAGGAACTCTCGTCGAGCGGATGTAAAATAATACCGAAAATTGTTGTATTGGCTTCTCTGAGAGAGCAGCAAGAGACGAGTCCCATTTTTGCAGGGTCTTCCCAGCGACCAGAGGGGAATGAGTCTGTCGTGATCACGAAGAGGGACTCTCGAGCCATCCCCACCATACGAGACCAAGATTTATAGAACCTTTCTCCATCGTCCAATAGGATGAGATTCTGAAGTGGCATTCCAGTCACTTGTTCTTCATAGAAGATGTAAAATCTGGGCCATGTGTGTCCTCGGAGTGCCCCATTCGAGTCGAGGAAAGCGACTTCTCGTAACAGATTATTTCCGAGTTCATGTACCAACAAATTCCTTTCCTCCACTGAGCGTGCGATGATGGTGAAGGTTTGGGAATCCGACACCCAGGAATCAATGACCATGAGAGCTTTCAACACCACTTGGTAAAACTCGCTATCCGTTGGTGAAGCTGGGACGAAAACCACTCGGGGTATTTCTGTTTCTTCACCCAGATAATAACTGCGATGGAATACATATTCCAGGCCCTGCATCGGGAGATAACTAAAACAGGGAAACCTCTTATTAATGAACCGGGTCACTTCTATCACAAACTTCCCGAGCTCATTCGTACTTCGTTTTATTTCCGTGAGCATTTCCACTTTTTCTCGCCCCAAGGAAACCACAACACTTTCAATATCGAGAGTCCCAGGGTAAGTGGCATCACTGGG